GGTAAAGAAGAGGTGGAAACCGATATAAAGTGGGAGTTTAGGTCATCAGGTGATATTGGGAAAACTGAGGAAGGGGATCTAGAAGGTTCACAGAGGGAAAGCTTACGAAGTAGAAGCCATTTTGATTTGATATCAGGAGCTGAGGAAAGGGCTTCGTGAAAGTAGTTCGCTTTCGCTTGTCGGATCCTTGTCTGTGTCGTGTTACGAAGCACTCTGAATATTTGATAATCATCTGCAAGCCTAGTCCGTCTGAAGCGTCTGCGTGCAGCGTCGCGTCTCTTCTGCAGATCCTTAATTTCCTGACACATCCAAGGAGCAGGACGATGACGGAAAGTGGAGGTTTTCAGAGGAGCGTGGGTATTAAGTATATTGAGAAGATTGGTGGTGAGAATATCAACCATGGTGTCGACAGAGGAGCAATGATATATTTCATTCAAATCCAATGTTACTAGATCAGGTAATATTTTTTCTCGAGTAAGGGTATCCAGTTGGCGGAAAGTGATAGTTCGAGGATGGATTGGAGGAGTGCGGATATTATACGTTATTTGTATCAGATCATGAGATGAAAGAAAGGATACTGGCAATTGAGAGGCGGAGAGGAGGTTTTGTGCTGAGTCGATGATGTAGTAGTCTAGCCAAGTGTCAGATCTGGAGGTGTGGTGGGTGGAGGAAAAAGGAACGATGAATAGGTGAAGTGAGAAAAACAGATTATCTAAATAGGATTTGTCATTGGAGTTTGAGAGGAAATTGGTATTGAGGTCACCGGAGATAATTATTCTGGGATAGAGGGGAACGAAGTTGAATAGAGTTGATTCGAAGGACGGGTCAAATGGAGAGGAGGGCGATATACCACGGCGTAAAGGATAGGAGAAATATTACTGAGAATTTCTACTAAGAGGTATTCTACATGAGGATGATCGGAAGATGGGGAGCAATCGAGGATTCGGGTCTTTAGGCTATTGTGGACAAACATGGCTACTCCACCGCCAGTCCGGTTTACCCGGTCATGACGGAGCAGGATGTAATTAGGCAAGGAGACTGAAGATGGTGGAATATAAGGTTTGAGCCAGGTTTCGGATATTGCTATGATATGATAAAAGTTTTGGGTAAAGTATTGCAGGAATTCGTCATAATGGGCAGAAAGTGATTGAGAGTTAACTTGACATGTGATTAGGGAACTAGACATACAGTGGATTTGGAGAGAAACAGTCAGTGTTTGGTAGCGAGAAGACAAAACGAGTAGAAAGTACAGAAGAGCGATTATCGTACATGAAACTAAGTGAAGAAAAAGTAATATTAACATTAAAAATAGATAAAGAGAATGTACTTGAAAATAAATAGATTGATGAGTGACGGTGTAGAGATAGCACTAAGAGAAGAAGTAAGACTATTTTAATGAGGCTAAGGGGTTGACGGCTTCTAGGTAGTCAGTCAAATACATCTAGATCCGAGGCCTGTTCTATCAGGATGACTCTATGTCCGTCCTCTTTTCGACACCGCACCTTTCCGGAAGCAAACCACGTATATTTGATTTTTCCCGCCGCTCTCTTCTGCCGAGCTAGCCAATAGAGGTGTCTATTTGTGCGAGTCATCTCTTCACCCAGATAAATTCGGTGGCAGTCATTTTCCTGCCAACCGATATCCCGCGTGGAGAAATCCCTCTTCACTTTCCTTTTCGTAATTAGATCATCTCTAATTGATTTCCTGACAAAGCGTGCGATAACAGGCGGTGGTCGCGAGTCATCTTTTCGGCTTCTGCGGCGATGTACGTTGTCCAGGTCCTCCACACTAAGCCTGATCCCCAAGCTTGCTCCTATACTGGTCACCAAAGCTGCGGGCGTTTCGCCCGGTCGCTCCGGTATACCGCGGATCTCCAGTGAGTTTTAGTGAGTTTTTTGGTCAATGAGATTTAGCATTTCGCTTAACTTCATCATGATAGGCCTTTTATGAAAGCTGGATAGTCAGAAAATAATAAAACATGAAGGAATATTTAAAATAATTGGCTTAGGCAATAAAAAACAGTAAAGTTAATTTTTTCAAACCGTTCCAACTGAAGTTTAATATCAAGCGTTGTTTGTAATTAAACGGCCAACAATAATAAAAAACACCCTGAAATAAAACATTTCTCTTTCTAAATCGCTGATTAATTTTTAAAAAAATTGTAATGGTTCCTAAATGCGGAATTCCACTGAGGCAACTTTTAGGCAACATGTAGCATGCGGCATTGATGTATGCTACACAGTCTTTCCATTGAAGGAACATAAAGTGACAAAAAATATGTCTCCTTGCCGCATGCTACAAGTTGACCGCTGTCACCTGTCGAATTCTTTATCTCTCCACATGATTCAACATGTTGAACAGTGTCTTCGTCTATCCAACAGCCCTCGGATCGTTGCGCCTTGTTGGGGGCAACATGGAGTCGACGAACGAAAAAACTAATCTTTTATTGACAATTACCGTAATTCTGCCGAATTATGGAATAATAACATCACTGAATACAGAGATATAAGAATTAAAAAGGATAAGTTGAAAAAATTATTGGATAAGTATTAACTTCAGCAAGAAAAGAATGAATTTTTTATTGGACGTCGATGTACCCAAATCAATATTGCCAACTGCTGAGTGTTTAGGTGAAGACACGATGATGAAGATCAGTGATGGCACAAAATACACTTTCTAGTAACCCAAATAGTCCGAGAGCCCTGAGAAAAAATCTACATTATTTGATAAAAATTTTAATAGCATTTTTTGAATACTTATAAAATCTTTATTTAAAAAATGAGAGTTTGCCAGTTGGATCTTACTTCTTATAAAAATGGCGACTGACATAATAAATATTGGGTCATTAACTTAGGATCGAAACAAGAAATTCATTGTGAAAAATGTGAGAAAAGATTTTAATTTTTTTTAAATTGTATATATTGGTTAAGACATGTAAAAACAAAATTGCTGACGGCCACCAAGGAAAAACTTTTTAGAGCCAGATTATTTTGATCTTTTTTTGTTTTTTTACCTATAGTTCCTAAACGGTGCAACAAAGTGAAAAACCTTTTCTTTCATAAATTAAATAAAGTTAAATTATGCGTCGAACAAGTACCTAAACTTAATAATTTGGTTAAGTGTATGTTCGTTAACCACGGTCACCGAATGCCGATTTTTACCAAATCCGTGAAAAACAGACAAGTTACTTTAAATGGCGCTGCTCAAAGAATAAAAGTTATAGAGCATCAAATTCCGGGTCTACTGAGTACTAACATTTTTAATATAGATCAATTATACTTATCGAATCGGGATTCGTTATTTCTTCATGAAATTTTTTATTTTGTAAAATCCTTATATACAAGTTAATAAATAAAAACTTTTCCCACATTTTACGCAATGAATTTTCCGTTTCGATCCTTAAGTTACTGGTCTAATATTATTTACATCAGCAAGTAATAATTTTTACAGGTAGCAAGATACAGGTCGACTGGCAGACTCATTTTTTAAATATTAATGTTATAAATATTTTTAAAAAATCCTTTTAAATTTTTAATCAAATAATGTTGGTGTTTTCTCACAGACTCTTGCACTAAAATGAATTTTCCACTACTCTTTAAGCGTAAAGTATTAAATTATACCGAATTTCTTGACCATCGATTTATAGTTCTCTTCTCCAATATCATGGTGTTTTTATGATTCAAAGCGATTACCAAATATGCAGCTGCTGCGACTATTTTAATGACATGATGTACCAAACTGAAGTTGCCTGAATGGAGTCGCATGCTACACAAGTGTACAACAAAGTGCATACGATGTGGGGCAATGAATTCCGCATGCGACATTGAATGAATTTTGTGCCACATAGTCGGACGGCTAGAATCGGCAACACTAGGAAACAAGTATCAAGCAACATGTCGTTCAGTGTTGCCTCAGTGGAATTCCGCCTTTAGGAAATACTCTTAATCGGCAGTTATTTTACCAAAATTCCTCATTTCTTTTTATAAGAATAGAATGACAATTAAGCATGAAGATCCTGTGTCTTATTTGAATCACCATATTCGATGGGAAATAGGGAACAATATGACATAGTAACAAATCTTTTATCTACCACATATAAAACAGGAAACAGTGAAGAAGCACCTCCAAAAGTATAAACAAAAATAGCTGAATTAAAAAAAAAATTACTTGTAAGTTCAATGTTTAATGTTTTCAAATGAGAATACACATATGTATCCAGTTAATAAAACTTGTAAATATTTATCTGAATTTTAGTTTGTTAGTTATGTATTTTTCCCAAACAATTTCTGATATCTGAACTTATCAGTTATCTGAACACTGCTCATTCCTGAATCAATTATTTTGGATTGGAGGTTACACTGTACTTACTTACAAAGAAATCTAGTCATCTAGCTGTCGTCCTAAACTACCTTTACTATTATGGGCCCAATGCAAGCTTAGTTTTTCTGGTCTGGCCCTCTGTGTGATCTCATATTTGAGTAATAAATTTCAGGTTTTTTTATCCAGCCAGCGGTTATTCTTTACTGAATAAACTGAGCATGTGTAGGCCCCTTTAAACCCTGAGATATTAGGCATATCTCAATATAATATTTAATTTTATCCATCAATGCTTAATTTTAATTACCATTGGAACACTTTGCCCCTTATTTTGTTATTTATTATTGTGTTATAATTTAGTTTATTTTTTTTATTTGTTAATTATGCATCACTTTATCGACATCCACCATCAGAGATCTTGTAGTCCTGTACCATATTTTAATTTATTATTTAACATTTAATAATTTAGTTTATTATTTGTTTCATTATATTATCAATGTTGTATTTTTATTTTTAATGGATTACAATACTTCTGATTTTATTGATGACTAATTGCTTACTTATTTTATTATATTCCATCAATCAACACTTTTGAAATTTTGCATATCCATATGTATTTAAATCAATATTTTTATATACTGTTTGTTTATTTTCATTATGTTGAATTGTTTAATTTGTTCTAGACAACTGGAAATATTTTAAGTTTTTGTGAAGTTGGTTTAAAAATATCAGGTTTTACTCCAATTAAATCTCACGCTGCTTTACATTTACCTAATGTTCTCCTCACATCTATCACAAGTAGTAGAACTGAAAAAAGTACAGTTGTTTTTCTTGGTTCCTCTCTTGGAAAACTAAAAAAGGTATTTATTTTGATTGAAATTTTTTTAAAATCTTAACTTATATAAATTTAGTATATTTTTAATCATAAATATATGACACAGTAATGTTTAAAATGAATCATGGAAATGCAAAAGGGACTAAGAGATTTCAGACAAATTGAAAACACAATTTTTAATGTTCTGCAGATTACAAGCTCATAGGCCAAGTAATAGAACTGTTAATACTATTACAGATGTGATTTTATTTCTTATGCAGTCACAGATAATCAGAAAAAAAATTAAATAAATTGTTTTTCTCCAATATTATTTAAGTTTATATTATACTTATATTCAAGTTTATAATTATACTGGGCCAACTATTCAATGTTTTTTTCTTCCAAAAATTAAAAGACTATTTTCATTATTTCTTGAGATGGTCCATGTTTGGGAAGCATTGGTAAGAACTGGGCATATAAGAGTCTTGTATATGACCAGTTTAGTGCCCCTGGTAATGGATCTGCTGCGGAGAGTTTTCAGTTAGACAAAATATGCCCTATTTGCCACCACCAGCCTTTTTTTATCTCAGCAGAGACATCGTTTATTGTTGTCATTGGGGATCCGAAATATGTAAACTCATTTACCCTTTGGAATGTGTAAGAACCCACAATCAATGCCTCATTGCCACCAGTCGCTGTGCTCATATATTTTGTTTTATTCTTGTTTTTGGTCAGTGTATCCCAATATCTGTACAGTATGGGTGAATATCGTGTGGTCTGTCTGGATTCTTGAATCCCATGCAGCTTTCTCCTCCAGTGCGAGAATGAAGAGGAGACATGCCAGTCCATCCCCCTGTCTTGATCCTTTATTGGAGGGAAATGCATTAGAGCAGTCTGGATCAGTACCTGTAGACAAGGAGCTACTGCTGGTTTCATTTAATGGAACTACTTACAGCTAGAAACCATTTTAAATTATAGATAATCCTCGCCTGAATACACAACTACGGTCAGTCGCTTGGAAGCCGTTGCTTTATATAAGAAAATTGCTAAAAGTTTTCAACTAGCAATAATCACACCTCAGTAGACCTTCATTGGTTACGATATTGCCTCTGCTTATCACTGTTACTTATTGTTTGTTTTATTTCTTGTTGCTCAAGTTTTGCGAACTTTTAATGTTTATTTAAAAAAAAAATGTTTTTGTTTTTTGTTATGGAAAGATGGAAAACTGGAACATATTTTAAAGATGCCAATAATGATAAATAAAAATTATTGCTCATATTTTTTAAGGATATAAAATGGAATATATTTTGTAAAAAGATCAAACATACCTAAACAGATGGAATTTTCCATTGTCTATGTGTTGTAACATTTATATGTTTATTATATTTTGTATCTATTTGCTTTATGATAATAAACACGTTTTCATTTATTCATGTAAGGAAATTTAAATCAAAGTGGCGAAATTTGACGTTTCATTTAACGAGAAAACTGACAGCTGAAAATTTTTGATGAGATGTTTGCCCCAAGAAAAGAAAAAATCTTGACTGCCGGTCTTATGTCGATGTGTTTTTCGAAAACTGATCAGTGCCAAAGTCACTAATTTGTGCAGTGCATTTTACTAAAAGACATACGCTCAAAATATGCAGGGAACCAATCTAAAATAGAATGCGAGATGACTGTCGACATTAATCATTGTAATTTTAAAACTGACTTGATTTTTTTATTTGAGTTGAAACTATTCAACGAAAAACCTTATGGCTGAAAATTATTTCATTCGATAGATTAGATGAAAATGAGTCGAAAGCATACCAACTGACCACTTAAATCGGTTGCAATTTAAAACTGACGCCCACAAATTCACTTGATTCGTGGGGTATACTTACCGGAAGGACATGCTACTTAAACTGAACCCAAATGTCCAGCGTATATTTTTTTATAACATCCGCTGTATATTTTTTATAATATTAGAATGTTGAAAAATATCACAATATTACTCAATTCTTCTTCGGTGCATACTATTATTTTCAAGTTAATTTATTATTAGCCATATTTACACCAATTTAAAAAAAAATTTGTTGTCACTTAATGACTACTCATCAAAATGACGACGTTTCGGCTCGTCGAGCCATTTTCAAGTCTAAAAAAATTTTTTCATTTACAATCATATATTAACTTTAACATATTTCAAATTATAAAGATACTTATTATGTACCTAAAATACCCATCATGTACCTGTCATTTTCACTTATGCGAATTGCAAGCGTCTACTCATAATAAAATTCCTTATTATTGTCATGTTCACCTTTAATTATTTAACAACATTATTATTACTCAATTCTTTACTATTAAATGATTCAAAATAAGTTAAATTTACCTTGTTTCTGAGTCACCCACATGTCATCCATCTCATTTCTATTCAGTGACTGGTTATTCTTATAGGAGTAGGGGAAGACTATTTATTATGAACATATATAATGCTGTTACTCAATATTACATGTGGATCTATTTTAAGTAATATTAGCTGATTTATTTCAAATTTTGATTTTTTCAATAGAACTAGCATAAAAAGTATTCATATTATCCACGTCTGTATGATTATTTACTGAGTTTTTTAAGTTTTTAGTTATGTATATTGATTCATTAATTCTACGTTTATTCGTATTTCTTTCATTATGTAGGATATTGGCATTTTTGAAATCAAACTCATGTTTAGTTTGCATATTATGTTGTGAGAGTCCAGTAGCTAATTTAATTTTTGTGTTTTTTGAATTACAATTTTGTTTATGCTGTTTAAGCCTTTTTTCAAACCATTGGGATGTTTGTCCAAAATATGCTTTGTTGTCGCAATTCTTACAATTTATTTTATAAATAATATTCGTTAATTTATCGATAGGTACTTTATCTTTAGTTTTCGAATAAATTGTATCTAATTTATTAATTGGTTAGCTTGCAAATTTAATTTCATTTACATCGTATTGTTTAAATGTTCTTTCAATTTTATCAGTTAAGTTTCTAATATATGAGACGCTAAAATATATTATTAAATCTATTATCATTAGGGGATAAATTCAACATTATACCTTATAAATACAACAAGGAAATAGTTAATATAATAGCGGACGTCGAAAATATAATTAGAACTATCAACACACCTGATAATCACAAAAATATAATTAGAAATAGAGTAAATAACCACATAAATGATTTTATTGACAAAAACAATAATAAACAAAATATCTCAAACCAACCCCTACACAAAAAAATAAACAAAGACATAATAGAAACAAAAATTTTTTTTAAAAACCATCCAGAATTATTAATTATAAAATCAGATAAAACTAAGAAAACCGTGATTATTACTAAGACTGAGTATGATAAAAAAATGCACAACCTACTGGATGAACGCCTAATATATAGATGCCTTAGGAAAGATCCTTCAAATGAAATCCAGGATAAAACCTTGACATATATAAATAAATTAATGAAAATGAAATTTATAAATGAAAAGGATAAAGAAAAACTCATAACTAGACATTATACTATACCGCGAATACATGGTCTGAGCAAATTACATAAAAATGACAGACCTCTTAGACCAATTGTAAATAATATAAATGGCATTACTGAAAAATTGGCTAAATTCCTAAACTCAGCCTTAAACAACTTAAACAATAATAATATATACGATGTGAAGAATGCAATGCAAGTAAAAGAAAAAATTAATAGTATAAATAGGATAGAGGAAAACGAAAATCTAGTAAGCTATGACGCGGAATCCCTTTTTACGAATGTTCCACTAAATGAAATATATAGAATACTGGAAAAACGGTGGGATGAAATAGAACCGTACACAGAAATAAAAGATAAAAACGTTTTTATGGAAGGAATCAAATTAATTTGCGAAAATGGCTATTTCTCCTATAATAATAATTATTACAAAATGAAAAATGGTCTACCGATGGGCGGATGTATGTCAATCAATCTTTCGGGCATATATCTGAACAATCTAATAGATAATGCTATAATTAAATGGGGAAAAAAACCGAAGCTTATTATAAAATACGTTGACGATATACTTGCAATAATAAATGAAAATGAATCTGTTAATTTTCTGGATAAACTAAATTATATATCAGATAAACTAAAATTCACAATGGAATTGGAGAATAACAACAAAATAAGATATCTTGATATGTATATTCACAGAAATGAAAGCGGCGATCTTAGCACGGCATGGTGCAAAAAAACAATAACTAGTGATAGAATCCTAAACTGGCACAGTAACCACAAGAAACATATAATAATTAACACAGCTAAAAATTTAATAAATAAGGCAAAATTAATAACAGATCAAAACCATATAAAAGAAATCAAAGCACAAATATATCAAATTCTATTGGAAAATTGGTACCCCATTCGATTAATTAATAAATTATGGTATGAAAATAAAAAGTTAATTATAAATGACAATAGTAACAAACAGATTATTGATATTAGCAATGATAGGAGTGAGAAAGTGAAGCAAAATATTAAAATTAATAAAGAACCGAATTTAATAACAAATTATTTTAAAACTGAAAATGCAGTAAAACAAAAACCTTCCATGAACGATATACATGACATTAAGACACAAATTGAAAAATGTAATGGGAACAAACAACAACCTAAAAAATATTTTAGCGTCTCATATATTAGAAACTTAACTGATAAAATTGAAAGAACATTTAAACAATACGATGTAAATGAAATTAAATTTGCAAGCAAACCAATTAATAAATTAGATACAATTTATTCGAAAACTAAAGATAAAGTACCTATCGATAAATTAACGAATATTATTTATAAAATAAATTGTAAGAATTGCGACAACAAAGCATATTTTGGACAAACATCCCAATGGTTTGAAAAAAGGCTTAAACAGCATAAACAAAATTGTAATTCAAAAAACACAAAAATTAAATTAGCTACTGGACTCTCACAACATAATATGCAAACTAAACATGAGTTTGATTTCAAAAATGCCAAAATCCTACATAATGAAAGAAA